GCAAATCCTCCAGAAAGTAATTCCCAGACACATAATGGTAATTTGACTGGGAACAATCATACTGGATCTCCTACAGATGCCTTGTACCTGACCAACATGACAGGCTTCTATAGAGAAATGATTGGCTGTGTGGCAAGAGGAGAGCAGGAGATTTTCTTCACTTTCATGAAGTAAAATCATTAATTAGTCAGGCTTTTGACACAGCCTCTCACTGCCTTTGAGCAAATTGGAGAGATGTGGTTTGGATAGGTAAATTACTGGGTTGATGGAAAACTGGCTGGACTATGGGATTCTACATGCTGGGATCATCAGTATTAAGATCAAGTGCGAGCTGGTCACTCTTCAAATTTCTCAGGTTTGATACAAAGGTGAATATTTTTAATATCCTCATTAATGACTAATCCACACTTAATGATCTAATCACCATATCAAAGCTATCAAATTGATGGACAATGCCCAACTGGGGAAAGTGAAAAATATCCTCAGTGGTGGGATATCAGATTCAGAGGGACCTCGACAGGTGGGAAAGGAAGGCCAATACCTATCTCAGGAACTTCAATTAAAGCAACATCCTACATCTGCACACAGTAAAACTCATGCGACAGCACAGGCATAGGGCTGACTGAATAGAAATCAAATTTGCAGAAAAGGATCTGAGGTCCTTTTAGATACTTTCTAGCAAGTTTAACATGAGCCAACAGTGGATCTTTTTTTGCAACAGGGAAAACAAACTGCACTCTGCCCTATATTAGCTAGAGTGTACCTCTCAGGTCAGGTGAGTACCTCTCATACTGTCCTCTACTTGGCTTTGGAGAATGATTGTCCAATTTGGGGATCAATACAAGGCTGGAAAATACCTAGTGGAGGGCCACCACAATGATTAAAGCTGTGTTTGTTTAATCTCAAGCAGAGAAGACCAGAGGACAGGATCACAGTGCTGTCTTCAGCCACCTAGTGAAGCTCAGAAAAGACAAAACTGGACTCAAGATCTTGAGTAAACACAGCAAAAGGATGAGGGGCAGTGAATATACAAGTTATGACAAAGAAAATTCCAAAGTAACATTAGGAAAAATTTCATAGTAAAAGTCAACTACTAAGAAGGGCCCAGAAAAGACAGAATGTCAATCCTTATGGGTATTTGAAATGCTGGAGCGTGGACATGAGTTGAAGCAGCTGGATCTAACTTTGCTGACTGACCATGTCTTGGGCTGGGGGCTGAACCAGATAATCTCCAGACCTCCTACTGAGCCTAAATACCTCTGATTCTACCATTGCAGAGAGTCAGTTTGGGTACTCAAAAAATCATGAAATTGTCTCTAGTGCAGATTAATCTGCCCAGAAGGTGTCCAAGTAACGAATTCTTCCGCTCTTGCCAAAGCATTCCTTTGTGCACACTCATATTTTGGGCAAAAAAGGACTCTACACATATAAAACCAATTAAAATACATGCAAACAGTGTGAAATAGTTTAAAAGGAATTTACGTTTTCTGCATAGTCCTGAACAGCATCAGCTGCAAGGCAAAGTGTTTGTGCTATCAAAAAAAAGCCCAGAGCTAAACTTGTTACTTAAGGTTAACTTAGAAGTCTGTCATTTAGATTGTTCTTTTCTCTCTTAGCAAGATCAGTGTAAACACTTAACAAACACTAGTAAAGAATATAAAATAAGATTGTTTTCTGAAGGGCTACCTGGAATGCTCAAATGCTATTTTGCTTTGTTTTCACCCAAATGTACTTACACTACTAATTATGTGATGGTTTTCCTAAGTGTTTCATTGTAACCAGACCTACAGCATGAATGAAACTGAAGCTCTACTTGCTCCATTTCTATAAGTGAGCAGTAAAGAAAACCATTGATAGGGCAGCAAAACAGATTAAATAATCCTCAATTTTGATTTGGTATTTCTGTTTCAAGTCCTGCCAAATGTACTACAAGACCACAGACTGAAGGTGAGCCTATCTTGAAAATAATACTGATAAGTCTATACTTAAAAGGTAAAAAACTTAATAGACAAAACATTGAACACTTGAAAAACATGAACAGAAGAGAGGAAATCTTGGTAACATTTTCCACTTGCCGCAAATAGATTAATTTCAATGAAAACTGGTTCAAGACAGGTACTAAAAGACCCATTCAAGTGCTAAACTGATTCTGGAACAGTAATCTATTCCAAAAAATTCAACCACCTCAACAATTTGCAAGCCCAGAAAGCATACACAGATAAAAAAGAGTAAGGTACATTTTTGGGAACTGGAGGAAAGAATTGTTTAAGACAAGAGATAGAGGTAGCCAGTGCTCAAGAAATAGTTTGTTTTCTAATAGTGGCAGAAGCTTTTAACTGTGGGCAAAACTCCCTTGTGCTATAAAGCTTAGTAGGTTTTATTTAAACCTACAGTTGCTAATTATTACTGAATTGCTAGGACAGAAATTCGTTGCCTTGTAAACTAATCTATATTTTAAATTAACAGACAAGTACTTACATAGCCAAGGTCAGCACATTAAACCTTCTGACCGAAAGGGTAGTTCTAATACAGCAGAATAACTATGTAAAACTAAAAGGTGGCACAGTAAACCAACACGAAAAGCTCCTGCAGTTTTTAGGAACTCTGTTACACCAGCAGGCTCTCCTGCCCCTGAACAAGACGGTGAGCATAGGAAGTGCCTGATGTTCCCCTCCTCCTCCTGAGGATGCTCCCTTCCCAGACATCTGCAGTAGCAAAGGAAAGATGCTATTTTTCAAGTCCGTGGTTCATGGAATGAGGACATTTTGATGAGAGAATATATGATCCACAAAGTTTATAAGAGCTACTACTAGTTTTGGCAGTGCTCCATGCAGTGGGGAAGTTAGTCTCTTTGACATACATCCAGAGCCACTAAAGAAATCAGACTGGCTGGGATATCATGGCAAGAAGGGCAAAATTAAGAGATCCATGGCAGGTATAAGAACTAATTCAAATACCACAATAGTGTCAAAATCTTGGGTTATTGCAACAGTAATTTTTTAGTACCAATAACATGCAAGACTGAAAAAAATAATGCCTATCGCAGCAAAAAGGATTAGGTGAGAACAAGACCAGGAGCTGAAGGAAGAAAATATTTGGTCAAGAATATAAAAAGCTTCTTTAACTACCATGTCACAGTATTTTTGTCAACAATTAATATTACAGAAATTTTCCTAAAATTAATTAATCAAATTGAGTTGGACATGGACATTACATGTTAGAGAGGACTGAAGAGCTGTCAGGTGTGCCAGCTAAGAACCAGAGCAAGTCCTCCTTGAACCCAGCAACCAGTGTTAGAAATTAGACCAATTATCTGATTCTAGTGCTTTTTCTTTGCAAATAAAGAAGAATTTATATATTTTTTAATCATAAAAGCATTACCTACTCTGTAATGTATTAAAATTTGAACTTTGAAAATGGTAGTAAATATCCTTTTACAACTGGAGGGAGACAAAAGAAAAAATCAGTGAATTTTCAAAAAACAAGCTTAACTTTCTTTTGCTGCAGTTACTAAGTTTACTTGTCCACAAGAATACTAGAGAAAGTTCAACTATCTTGTGAAGATTTTGTGGAAAAACTGGAAATTAGGTCTAGGCATTTAAGTAGAAATACAGGATTTCACCCTATATTTACGTGAAAATTTCAATGCATTCTTAATTACCAGCAACCAATGGTCCTGTAACACCATCAACCTTTTTGAGGTTCAGAACTCTTCATAAAAATTTATGAAATTATTTTCACAAGATCACACCAAGGAGGTTTAAAACCACATTAGCATACAAGTACAACAACAAGGGCAAAACCATGTCACAGAACTATTAAAACCACAGCAAATATGGACAGTTAAGCTTATTAATACCTAAAGATTGCAAATAAATGTGCATAAATTCACAGTACAACATTACATACAATATAATATATTCAATCCTGCTAAATCAGCAGTGAAGAGAAAGATTACAACAGGAGAGCTGACAACTGCATTTCTGTAAATTCACATAGCCCTCATTTCCTCCTGTACAATGCACACACACTTTTGTAAATAAATGGGTTATGAAAAATTCAATACATGTATGATTGGAGAAGACAAATTAAAACTTTGGAAATATTTTAAAAGCCAAAAATCCATCAATTATTCATCCCATAAATAAACATTTTATCCATTTATTTCTTTTGTTCAGTTATTTTTGTAGATTATAACTCCTTTTTACTGAGTATTTGCAGATATTACAGCTATAGAAATATGTATTTAATCCTATATTTGTACTTTACAGATTGAAGAAACAATGCTCAAAATTGTGGTCTGGTAAAACTATGTATTTTTAATCTTCATATTACATTAGCTTTTACTATAGCATAATTTTTTTTAGATTTGAATCCCTCTTCAGTAATTGTACCCAGTTTCACAATGTCACTCAAACTGAAAATTTAACATTTTAACTCATTTAAGATTTATAATTCATAGTACATTTTTTTCCTGAATGTGCCAAGATTCAATAAATGCTACTCTTTACTAAAGGAAGAGTCTTCCTCAAACTGTCAAAATCCAGAAGGTAGACCTGAAAATTCTTTACCAATTCACATAATTGTAGTAATATTTACACATATGGTGTTCACATCAATTATTTTTACACTTAAGGTAAGTTTTGAAGATAAATTAGTTCAATGGGCACCTTAGTTCAGTTTGTACAGTCAATACCTAGTGGGTTACATATAAACATAACACATTGTACTCATAAGAATATATTCTGTTTTAAAAGAGACACAAGTTAGAATTGTTAGGAAACCCAGTTGTTAGGAAATTCTACTGTCAGAGGTACAGCTAAAAACTAGTTGTTATACTAAAAGGTCAATACTGAAGTATTTGTTAAAAAAGTATTTATCTCCAGTTTTGATGGCAGTCATCACACATTCCGTATTTAGTATAGCAATCTAGAAATTTAGGCTTTGTAACGTGAAAATGACATTTCTCAGTTTATGCAAATTAATTTCAACTTTGTTACCTTATTTACTTCCATGATTTCCCTTCTCTCTTCACTAGCAAAACGAAGCTGACTTGCAGCACCACGATCATCATGCTTGGAGCCATCTTCTTCAACATATGGAATAAGTTGCTGTGAAGACAAGAAACATCAGCTTTAGAGAAAAAAAAAAAAAAAAAAAAGGAAAAAAAAGAAAAGAAAAAGAAGAAAAATCAAATCCAGGAAATGCATACTGTACAACCATTTTCTCCACAGGTTCTAACTGCCCAAGAGAAGGCAAAGACAAGGCTTTGCTCCTCAAACCTAAAGGCCTGGCAATGACCTCAGCTGCTTCTCCAGGAAAACAATGTGTTTCAAAAAGACACAATCTTACACATTACCAAGTGTAGATTTTGTAACTGCAGGCAGAAGCCAGTCTTTCTATTTTAATATGTTCGTCATAGATATTCTTTATAGTTTCAAATTTTGCAAATTGAAATTTTGAAATTTATTATTCCACACTAAGAAATAAAACCACAAACATAAAATTATCATTATGATAAGTCATTTTGGTGATATATTGAGCATAAATATGACTGGCTTTATGTAGCTACTTGGCTAATACTCTAGTTATGACTTGCTATTCTAATGAGCCTCTGTTTGGCTACTCTTAAGACCAGGCCCAAAGTTACCTAAAATTAGTTTTTCTGTAAGTATTTCTCACCATGATCTCCTCAGACACACAGAATCATAGTTTGGTTTAGGATGGAGAAGACCATAGTGCACTGTTTTTTCTGTAAGCTTTGACAAAACCAAAATTCCTTGATGACGCTGTTGAGGCAGGATGGGAATGAACAGACTCCTAGTCAGAAGGCTTGAGAGTAGAACTCCGATTTATTTCAAAATACATTGCTATTTTATACAGAGCTTTGTGCAGACCAACTCCATTGGTCCTGAAGTGAAAACATCTCACCTATTGGTGTGCACTGAATGATGCACAGTAGCAAAACCTAACTATAAACAATGTGAACAAGACAGACAAAGAACCTTATTTATATTCTTCTCAACAGTTTCTCAGGCTTCTGCCTGGTTAGAAACTTTCCGTTTTTTCTTTGACTGAATCTGAGACATATACCTTGATGCAGAATTTCTAAATAAATCACACAGAATCACACAGAATCACACAGAATCACACAGAATAATGAGGTTGGAAGAGACCTCTAAGATCATCAAGTCCAACCTATGCCCTAACACCACAACTAGACTGTAGCAACAAGTGCCAAGTCCAGTCTTTTTTTAAACATATCCAGAGATGGTGATTCCACCACCTCACTAGGAAGACAATTCCAGTATTTTATTATTCTTTCAGTGAAAATTTTTTTCCTGATATCCAACCTAAACCTTCCCTGACTATATATATATATATATATATACATATATATATATATACATACACATACTACTATATGTCTCCTTCCTAAAAAAAGAAATCAAAAATAAACATTCTAGATACAAAACAAATACTTGCTTCTGTGTCAGAACACTCCCAAGCTATGAAAAATTTCTTAAAAATAATACATCCATGAAGCCCATAGTCCAACATCGATTTTTGTGTCCTGAACTATGCAAAACTACATCCGTGTTCACAAACACACTACAGACAAATGGAAGACTAATACTTATAAAAGTGAGCAAGGAGGCATTAGTTTAAAAGCCTGGGAGCAAGCTGCTCATCGAGTGCGTATTAACTTCTTACTTAGGTTGGGGTGCAATATTACAAAGTGTTCAGTGCCTCCAGCACTCTGATGGAAAACTTATTTTGATTTAACACACTAAAAATGTAGTATCCTTCTATACAAAAATCTTTGTAGCTACTCTTATAAAGCTTAGAAAAATGGACAAAAGCTACCACACTAAACTCTGCCATGAAAAAGTAGCAAATGTTGACCACTTACTACATTTGCAGACCATAAAGAAGAAGTACTAGGGCTGCTATTTGCTCTTCAAAAAAACACTCTCTGATGGAAAAATAAAGTAGCACTCAAAGTAGAACATTTCTTTAAAACTTCCTTATCTTTCAGAAAAGGTGATAGATTAAAAAAAAAAAAAAAGCTGAACTATACCTACTACAAAAAAAAAACAAAAAACCACAGAAAATTGGATCTTTGTAGGTAGATCTCCTTCACAATTATCTCATGCCTTGCTATGTTGGTTAACAGAAAGTTAATAATACCTATTACAGATTAACAAAAAATTATGAATATTTATATCACTAAAATGGAATAAGCAATGCTAGTAGGTATGGACTTCTCTTGACTGTGCAAAAAAAAAAAAAGTTTCATTGCTATTCTGTAAAGACCTGGTTAGAATATCAGCCATTAAATAAAACAATTGAGACTATTACCGAACTACTGGAAGAAGAATTTAAGAAAACTGATCCAAGAGGAATGGTGTGCCACTGTCATTCACTCTAACCAATAAAAACATGAGGAAGCTGGCATCTACTAAGTTCAGAGAAGAAAAGACTAAGAAGATTAAAAAAAAATACCCAACTATCAATAAAAAATTCTGCTGTGACTAAGTTATCAGTGAAACCTGGCATTAAAAAAGCCTAAATTGACTACTTATTTTCTCTATGGAGATTCTTTTTCATCCTGATAATGGGAAAAAAATGTGAAAAATTATAGAAAAAAAACAACCGAATGCCACATCATTCCACTGTTATGGGAAAATAAGACACATGAAAAGCTTTTAAAGAGGACACAAGTATTTGGTTATTGCAAACAAGTTCAACACACTGTGAAAACAGGTTTTATTTTCTTAAATGGGAAAATTAACTTATTCCCCTGCTTGCTGTCAGGTTTCCAAATACATTTTTATGAAACCCTTGTCAAAAGTCAGCAACTGTTAACTGAAACAGTAGTCTAAAATTGACTGTACAGAATGGACTTCCTTAATTTCTTTACTCCTATTCAGTTAAGAGACTCACACTTCAAATATAATGCCTGTAGGATTAAAATTCAATGGACAATCAAAAGTCCATTAATAAAGTTGCCTCAGAATCCAGAGGTCAGTAATTAAAGAACGTCAGAGTTCTTGTTAATACAGAGCAGGAACAACTCAAATTGTAACAAAACTCAGGGTTTACAAGTATTACTAGAAATGAGAAACAATTATGAGGAAGATGACATTTAAGATTTTATGAATAACAGCAGTATTATTAAGAAAACCTTTGGCCTCCCTGGAAGTTTTATGTTGTAACTTTTCTATCACCACTGCACATTTAGGTTTGGTTCATACTGGCCAGCAGGTTAGGAATAGCTGAGTGAGGGAACTATGGAGGCACAGACTATTGGGCAGAGAAAGTAAAGAACACATTACTCAGGAACCAGGTTGACAGGTGAGAGCTTGAACCAGGCTTTTTTCCACTTTTTCCCACTTCTTGTAAAAACTTTGCCCTGATCTTGTTTTTCCTAAAGGAAAGAAACTGGTGAAGGTACAAAGAAGCCAGAGGAAAAAAAGTTAAAATTTTAAATTAAGTTTGCTTTCACAGAATGACAGAATCAATTAGGCTGGAAAAGACCTCTGAGATCAAGTCCAACTTATGATAGAACACCATGTCAGCTAGACACTAAGTTTCACAATCTTTCAACAAACTCTAATTAATAAACAGAATTCAGTCCACTGAATAATTCTAGTATCATTAAAACTTGTTATGAGTCTCCTGCAATTGAGGAAGATGGATGATCTGCTACCCAGAGTGGTTATTCTGATTTACAATTTATACACAAATATAGATACTTACTTCTATGGGAACAGGATCGAGCCCAGCACAGTTTTCATTACATTTGTCATAGACTAATCTCAGTTTTCTGAAGAGTATTGATAGCTGACGGAGATGTTCCTGCAGCTTTGCCAGTCTGTCTTGATATGTTGCAGTATGATAAGTAACACCATTTGGTAACTTAGAGAAGCAAAACATGAAAAATATTAAAGTTTCTGTCACATGAAATAAAGAAATATATCAGACAGGCTTCTGTGTATTTTAAAGTAAGACAATCACACTTTTCTTACAGCAATCACTGAAATTTTAATTTTCTTTACTAGCAAAATTACATATTTTATGTCCTTAATCACTGCTGTCATACACCCTTGTGTATTCTACACTTTGCTCATTGTCAATCCCTCCGACTTTTCAGTGAGTGTCTCCACAATGCCTAAATATGACACCGTTGTAACTGGGGTTGAGATTTTGTGTCTCAACCCCAGGCCACTCAATTCAGTGACACAAAAGTCATGAAAATACAGGAGTGGGAATGATTATTTATCTTGTACGCTCCACAGAGAAAATTCAACAGAAATTTGTATGTTTTTTCAGTAAGTAGATACTTACTGAGAAGGATTATGTTGTTTTTCCTAACCAAAAAAAAAAAAGTTTTAGGTGAAAAATATTACAGAGCAAGATCAATGAAAATTCCTCTAAATTTACTCCCCATATGTTAACATAAACAGAGAAACATAACTGACGTACGAACAGACTTCACTGTACATAAAAGAAAACACAGTTACTAAGCGTATTGAGAGTTTTTTTATTGGGAGGGCAAAGACAATTCGGCATTTCTGAATTTCACTTAATGTACAGGACGAAGCAAATATATAAATATATTAAGAGTAGTACTCATTTCTTCAACCTCCTTTTCACAGCAGTTTGATCGAGTTTTCTGAACATCCTAAGGCTTCTCCTGTATCTATATATACAGGCAGTCAGTGATAAAAACATGGCAAGTTGAGTGTATAAATAGTGGTTTCTCACCTGCATGTTCCTCAGCAGCTGGAAGATTTCCATGGTTCGAAAGACAATGTCCTGCACGGTCTCCTGGCCGATGCGGCAGAGGGAAGCCGTGTTCACCTCCCTGGCAGCCTGAGCCTGCGTCCCGGAGAAGGCACCGGGCGGCATCCCTGCCCCGGCCAGAGGCGGGGTGGACATCTCCCGGCCTTGACAGGTCACACTACGGCGAGCTGCACACAGAAGCGATGACGGAACGATCAAATACTTGTTTGACTTCTGCAGGGTGGCTATCCCACTCTTTTCCCCGTAGGCGGCTCTGTCCAACAGAGGAGGCCGGCTCAGGGCAGCAGCCCTGGGACACCGCTCCTGACCCACCGAGGCTCTGCCGGCGGTGGAACCGGCGATGCCCCCACGCACCTCCCTCCCCTCAGAGCGGTCACTGGGCCGCGCCTGCCCCGACCCGTCCCACGGGGAACACCACAGAGGCTTTGCCCAGCTCCAGCAGGCAGAGCCGCAGCCCTGCGCCCCGGGACCTGTACCTGCCCGCCCACTCGGCTGGCCCAGGGCTGCCGGGGCGAAGCGGCGCCGGCCCACAGCGTTCCCCGCCGCGCTCCTGCCCGGCCCGCGGCGTTCCCCGCCGCGCTCCTGCCCGGCCCGTGCCCCGGCCCCGCCGCGCTCCTGCCCGGCCCGCAGCCCCGGCCCCGCCGCGCTCCTGCCCGGCCCGCAGCGTTCCCCGCCGCGCTCCTGCCCGGCCCGCAGCGCTCCCCGCCGCGCTCCTGCCCGGCCCACGGCCCCGCCGCGCTCCTGCCCGGCCCGCAGCGCTCCCCGCCGCGCTCCTGCCCGGCCCGTGCCCCGGCCCCGCCGCGCTCCTGCCCGGCCCGCGGCGCTCCCCGCCGCGCTCCTGCCCGGCCCGCGGCCCCGCCGCGCTCCTGCCCGGCCCGTGCCCCGGCCCCGCCGCGCTCCTGCCCGGCCCGGCGCCCCGGCCCCGCCGCGCTCCTGCCCGGCCCGCGGCCCGGCCCCGCCGCGCTCCTGCCCGGCCCGGCGCCCCGGCCCCGCCGCGCTCCTGCCCGGCCCGCGGCGCTCCCCGCCGCGCTCCTGCCCGGCCCGCAGCGCTCCCCGCCGCGTTCCTGCCCGGCCCGCAGCGTTCCCCGCCGCGCTCCTGCCCGGCCCGTGCCCCGGCCCCGCCGCGCTCCTGCCCGGCCCGCGGCCCCGGCCCCGCCGCGCTACTGCCCACCCGTGCCCCGGATCTGCAGCGGAAGCGCTTCCCGGCGCCGTCACAGCCGGGCGGGGCCGGGGCGCTGGCGCCGGCTTGGGGCCGCCCCTGTGCCGCTGCCCTCCGAGAATATCTCGCTCGGGAGCCGCGGCTTTTCCCGGCTTGCTGAACCCAGTGCGGGCTTGCGGGCAGGTCAGCCAGCATGTGGGCTCTAAGTTTGAAAAGTTTGGTCAGGATCCCCAGCCATAGTCATACATTCCTACCACCCCTGTGTCAGATCATAGAATCATTGAACAGTTTGTGTTGGAAGTGACATTCAAGATAATTTAATTCCATGCCCCTAGTGGAATTCTAGTGGCGCCTTCCACTAGAGCTGGTTGCTCAGAGCTCCATCCATCCTGGCCTTGAGCACTGGCCCGAACGGGGCAGCCCCAACTTCTGCGGACAGCCTGTTCAGTGTACCATCTCCCTCACAGTTAAAGATTTCTTCCTAACGCCTAAACCTACTATTTTTCACTCGGAAGCCATTCACTCTTTCTTATCACTAAAGTTCAGGATGAAGAGTCCCTCTCCACCTTCCTTGTAGGCCCCTTCACATACTGGAAGGTCTCCTCTCCTCCCCTCCAGGCTGAGCAGCCCCTACTCTCTCAGCCCATCTTTGTAGGAGAGATGCTCTAGTCCCAGTCACACTGATAAATGGCTGAATATCTGTTTTGTGGGATAAGTATGTATTGTCGGCATAAACTTTAAAACCTGTGCTAATTTTGTAGCTCTATGGGTGTACTGCTATTCCTTCCTGCATATATGTATTATTGCTAATACAGAAAAGCCTTAATGTTTGGACTTCCTGGGTCACAGTATATAAAAAATATGGATATAAAAATATTTTTTAAAAAAATCATGGAATAGAAAAGCCCTGAATGCTTGTACCACTCTAGTACAATTGAGGCATTTTTGAAGTACAGACAAGGTCTCCTATGTGAGGGAGAGGGAACATCCTCAAAAAGAAGCCAGGCAGGTTCTGTGAGGCCTGACTGGAATAAACTGTTTCTAAAATAGTTAATGCGAACTGCCTGCCTAACAAAAAATTCTTAATATGCAAAAATCAGTAAGTGCCAAAGTTTCTCTATCTTTTCCAATTGACATCATATCTAGGACTCTGTATTTGAGTTATTGTGGTGGTAAGTATTTAAATACGCAGAAGAGAACATCTATATACCTGCAAATTCTAATGAATTCTTAGTACAGTAAAGATAGTTGTGCTGTTTTAAAACAGCTCTTACAAATGATCTTTTGTGTGAAATGCCTTGCATTTGTAATGCTGTAAAAATAAATCAGAAGTTTGATGTGTCGTATACAGCCTTTGTTAAAGAAAGAAGAAAGCAGTCAATGAACATTCAGGAACAGAACCATATAAACTTGCTGTCAGAGGCACTTTGCTCCATAAAACATTTTTTACCTCAGAAACAGACTACTGAGGGGAAAGACCACTCCCTTTCCTAAACTGGAGATTTTTCCTGCCTGGCTAAGTTCTCCCTAGCACTCTGCCCACTCTGCACTCTCAAGGTGCAATACAAATAACTATATTTTAGCAAAGATCTTAGCATAAAGGATACAAAAGTGGTTTCTTAAGCAGAGAGGAAAAATGGTTTATAGAAATAAGAGGAGGATATTTTCAGAAAGCAAAAGAGCATTCCATGGTGTCTAGCTAGACAATGCTCGGGAACAGCAGCCTCTGGAGAACTTCAAAGGACTTGTTTGAAGGTTTGCTTCTCATTTCACTGTACACTAAGAAAATGATACAAGAACTGTTCAAGTGTTGAGCACAAAGGGTATTGTTTTCATCTTCTGATTGCATGCCCAAGAGCTCTGATCACAGTGCTTAACTTGCTGCCTCAAATCCAATAGCATAAGAGTAATGATGCATTCAGACCACCTACTGCTCAGGGCTGCCAGGCAGACTCTGTATAGAGTCGTGTCCTGCAGTACAGGGCTGCCATGTACAGTAGGCAGTTGAAATACAGAGAGAAGTCTGCACATGGAGAGTGCTGGAGAATGTTTCTGGTAGGCCTAATATTCTTTATTACTATTCTCTGGAACCATCTGGGTCTGGGATTTTGTTCCCAGACAAAGGAATCTTCTTTTAGATAAGAATGTGTTTCTGGTCAAAAGAGATAAAGATGAATTTGGTTTTAAAAGCAATCTATTAAGCAGCCACTCTCTATGTTTAGTTTGGGCCAAGTGCTTTCATATGGAAGGTGTCCAAATCAGAGATCATCTTTTATATCCATTTCAGTTTCTGTGGCATCAGTTCAAACCAGTATCATAAAATTCTGCTGCCTTTGTTGTTGGGTTGTAGAGAAGCTACCAAAAACCTAACAAGGAGCCTATGTCTGCATGTAATACTCTAGTCCAATCAACTTTAACCCAAATTTGAAATTAGGACTCTTTAAAGAGTAACTACTTCAGTGATTATAATTTTCACCATAATAATGGCTTTTGAATTTTTTTGTATTTTGCAATATACCATGAGCAACTCCAAAGATAGTTTTGCTGTGCTCTATAAGGAGAGTAAAAATCCTCAGAAGTGGGGGAAGAGGATAACTGTTGCTTTTGTTCAAATAATTTTCTCTAAATCTGTTGATATGTTTGCAAGGCAATGTGAATCATTCTGTTTAAAAATAAACAGAACTAGTGAAATTCCTGGATTATCATCTGTTTTCCTCTAAGAAAGAAGAGTGTACTCCCTCACAAGTCTCCTCACACTATTCCTTAGGCAGTAGTGCTTTGTTACTGCTCTGAGGGTGACAGATGGGCTTAGGGGAAATGTGTTAATCACGGAAGGACTTCCATTCTCCACCCTGTCCCATTCAGTGTTTATGTGTTCATTCAAGGAGAAATAATGGGACTTTGTGGAACCTTTGCCAACAGTAAACAGACATGGCACAGTTTTACTGTTACCAAGCTGTGGTAGATAACAGTATGGCACATAACTTTTTTTAGGATGTGGCCAACACTTAAAGTAGGTGGAGTTCAATTCAGCAGATTATATTTATAGACCAGAGGAAACAGTTAATGGCTGTGAGTAAGTGAGGAGGACTGGGTGCTTGTGGAGTTTTTTTGTGTGAAAGGGAGGTTTTTGCAGTGGTGTTTTCCACATCCAGGTAGGTATTCTCATGAGCTATGAAAGCATCCATTTAGAGGGAAGCAGGGTCATCTGTGATAGTGCTATATAAAATGGCATAAATTAGACAGGATCAGAGCCCAAAACATCAGAGAAGAAAGTGGTACTTCATGTCCGTGCTCAGCAGGGGGTGAACACAGCTGTTTCCTGGACCAAGGAGAAGCTGGAGTTGGGCAATGAAGATCTCTCTGCCTTTACAGGATTCTCTTGCACAGCCCTTTGGTGCTGTAGGTGATAGAAGGACAGCAAGGAGAGCAATATGGAAGGGGCTCAGCCTCGTTGCTTGTCTCTTGCTTCTGTCATCTGTGTATCCATAAGCAAACGTGTCTATACATTGTATGCGTTAATGGCAGTCTGCTGGGGCACAAAGAAGCAGTGGCATTGTGACTGGGTTTCATACAGGTAGTAACCAACTTGGGTGGTTTGCCACAGCCCAGCCTCTGAATGTTCACAGAGTGGTCAGAAAAAATGACCAGGAAACCACCAATTTCAAAATGGCTTTATGTGGTGAGGTGGCTGCCAGATGCCCAGCGCACCACTCCACCATCACACTCCCTCACTCTCCCCCTCTCCCTCCTCAGCAGTACAGGGGGAGAAAATAGGATGAAAACATCATGGGTTGAGATCTGCACATGGAAGCACAGTCCTCTCACCGACTGATCCAAACGGCACTGCAACAGCTTAGACACTGTCGGGACTTGCATTGACTCTGTAAGCCAGGGTCAGTGTGTGGGTTACTATAATTACTATATGGATTTTCTATTTCCCATAGGATAAAAACAAGCATTAACAGAATATGGGGAAGTCAGGTGCAGTGTGATGATCCAGCCTACCTGTGGGCTGTTCAAAACATGATGTGGTTTTTGGTTCTCACTATGCAGTGGGTCCTACACACCATTTCTTGATCTTGATAGGCATGTTGTATCATCAGTTCTCTACCTCTCTGAAGTGTCCTTCTTGACATTCAGCTCAGGAATGTTGCCCTTGGCCCATTTCATATTCCTTTAAACACTAAAACCTAGTTTTGTAGCCAGTTATTTCGGGCATGCAGATTGTTACCCTTCCCCATGTTCTATGTGATGGGCTGTTATTCCCAGCAGCTGGTACTCTCCCTGTAACTGTGACAGAAGAAAAAGGAGTAGCAGGACTTATTCCAGGGCATCACAATGCAGAAACACCATCCTGCTAATTTTTCTGCTTTTGCAGTTGTTCATTTGCTTGTCTCCAAAGAACTCTCTGTAAGTCTCAGCAT